ACAAGGGGGGGGGGGGGGGTAATGTCTTCGCAATTTGGTACGGTGCAATTAAGTTCGACGTCTAAATCAGTTTCCGATATTTTGCCGTATCTACGACAATTAGATTCGGCGCATGAGAAGTTCGCCGTCTAAACCGGGCCTAAGTGGAGCTTCTTCTACAACATGTCAGTCTAATGGTAGTTGGAGCAATCCAACTCCTCCAAGATGTAAGTATACCGTAAACCTCCGACTATAAGCCCTGGGCTTATATACTTTCGTAAGCGATTTTTGATGGGCTTATACAAGGGGGGGGGGGGTTTATATACGGGTGGACTAGCTTATACATGGACGATCTTTTGTGTTAGTAATAAACAAGTCAGACATAAACAAGTCAGTCATAAACAGGGAAATAAACGTGTATTAAGCGCGATTATTATAAGTAATAGCATGGCATTCAGGGCGATTAGTGATTAAATGTACCCGAAAGCCGAGAGAGGTTTAGTAAAAGTCCCGAGGCGCGTAGCGTCGAGGGACTTTTACTAAACCTCTCGAGGCTTGAGGGACATTTCATCACTAATCGACCGTAATGCCATGCTATTACTTTGTAATATCATAGTTGCCGAGGGAATCGCGCGTGGTGTGTTGCCTGTTTTGAATGCATGCTGTTTGATTGTCTTATGATTGTCGTACGAACACTTTTCATATATACGCACGCGCAGAAACACATCTCCGTGTTCATTGGCGTTTTAGGCATGCGCATACACGGAATTTTCTCCCACAATTGAAATGTTCAAGATTAGGGAATAAAAGCTGGCAAGGTGATTGTTCGAATGTGTACGTGACGGTGTCGTCAGATACTGTCCATAGTTGTGCCGATGATTTTCGATGAGGTACAGCTCTCCAATCAGAGGTAATGAGGTACGCTTTTGTCTTCTAAATTTCCCTCATCAAGCATGCAGGGGAAAATTAGAACTAATTTTACCACGGCAATTTTGCCCGTGGTAAAATTAGGACTAATTTTACTCCATGTTTTAGTAATGAGGTAAATTAGTGATTAATCGTACCTCGCGAGACAAAGGATTTCGAGGCAACTATGATATTATTATAAGTAATAGCATGGCTTGAGGGAGATTAGTGATTAAATGGCCCCGTAACCCGAGGCAGGTTTGCGGAATTCCCGAGGGCGAAGCCCTCGGGAATTCCGCAAACCTGCCGAGGGTAAGGGGTCATTTAATCACTAATCTCCCGAAAAGCCATGCTATTAGTTTGTAATAGCATAGTTTCGCTCCCATTTAAAAATGGACAAACATGCCCTACTTGGAATCAGCGTATTTAAGCTAAAACATTTGCTTCATTGCTTGTGGGATGTAAAAGCTTGTTGCACATGCGCACTTTTTACGCTTTAATCGGTTACGCATGCGCAATCTATCATTTAACGTACCACAACAAACACGCTAAATATATTAGTATAAATTTGGAGACTGCACGTGCGTAATTTAAATGATGCGGCAACTCAGGGCTCGGATGATAGACTATTGACGGCTCTGAGCTAACTGTTGCTGTTCCTTGCACGATTATGTGCGTGAGGCACTTGCCTAATGCGTAGTCGTCAGGGAGACAAAGGTGTGTGACCCTTGGTAACGGGCGATTAGTTCTAATCGCCCGCTCTAGCGGGCGATTAGAACTAATCGCCCGCTACAGCGGGCGATACGTGATTAAACGTCCCTGTTGAAACAAAAGAAACCCGGGCAACTATGCTATTACTGGGCTTATATTAATTGGGGGACTTATATTCGGGGGGGCGGCTTATACTCGGGTGGGCTTATATTCGGGGGGGGGCTTATATTTGGAATAAGATGAACGTTAGTACATGTGGTGGGCTTATACACAGGTGGGTGTATATTCGGGGGGTGGTTATAGTAGGAGGTTTACGATAAAAGATAGGAAGAAGTTATTTCGCTGACCTCAGAATGACATTTCGTCAAATTTTTTTTCTTCAAGATTGCTTTAGAAACAAACTTGGAGTAGGGTTAGGGTTAGTGTTGGGGTTACGGTTAGGGTTGGTGTTTGGAATAGTGTTAGTGTTAGTAAAACCGTTGCTTTGCTGCGTTTTGTCACTCTGAGGCCAGCGAAATAACCTCTTCCAGAAGATCAAACATGTTGGGAATTGAAAAAATAAAACCATAACTATTTTCATGCGATATCAGAGGATCCTGTGGTGGGGAGAGTCTAGATTCTATTTCCAACCTAAATTTCTCTAATTCCCACTTCCACTCGTTTTTTTTAGATCAAAGCCCAATCCTAACGTGAAATTGAAAGAAAATCCCAGAGCAAATCCTTCATCTTTGTGATGACTTTGAAACACAATTCTGCATGCGTTCAATTGCCCTCTTTAGAACTAGTTCTGCCAAGAGAAAGGTATACGACTGACTTACAATAGCAGAAATTTGCCCGCATTGAGCCATAAGTCGGTTAAATTCAAAAATTGCTCTGTATAGCTGTTCTGAAAGTTATTTCACTCTGAAATGTCCAACAACACTTCTTCGACATTTATAGAAACGCAGGATTTTAAACTGAATTTCCGACATTTTGCGAATGAGAAAACGACAAGTTGTTCGCTTTTTATAGTCTTTAAGCCCTGATTCCACGAGCGCTTTTTGTCAGCGAAATGAGAAATATTTCGCCTGTTTCTTTTGAATTGCGACCACTCGAATAAATTATTTCTACTTGATTGCTCACAATTCAAAAGAAATAGGCGAAATATTTCGCATTTCGCTGACAAAAAGCGCTCGTAGAATCAGGCCTTTACAGGATGAAAAACACAACGAAAAAACTCCCACAAATTGTTTACATGTTAGCAAATGAATGTTTAAAATTTAAGATGGTTAAAAATATATATATTTGAAAAAATACTTGGCCGAAATAGCGAAGATAGAAACATAAACAGATTAACAAAATAGAAAAATATTGAAAATATCCGAAAAGCAAATTCTGTGAATTCAGACCTTGTGTATATAATAATAAAACAGTTATTCCACTCACTCTCGTCGAATATGAGCTATCAGCTCATATTCGACTCGAATTCGTAGAATAACTGTTAATTATATAGAGCCTATACCAAAATGTTCTAAGCGCTTTACAAAATTACATTTTCGATTCAATGAAATCATTAAGTTAGTTACAGATTGCTGGAATGATCAGATAAGAAACTAAGTAATTGAGCGATATATATAATTAAGATGTTACTGTGTTATAAAATAGTTCTTTAGTCAAGTTTAAACGCTAGTTTAAAAAGATAGATTTTTAATTTAGATTTAAAAATATCAAGGTTAGCATGAGTAATTTAAATTTAACTCAGTATTCAACAGGTAACCAATGCAAGTTAATTACCACTGGCGTGATATGGTCGTATTTGCGGGACTGGGTTATAAGTCGCGCGGCAGCATTCTGCACATGTAGTAGCTTTTGTTGTTGGAGCTTGGGAACCCATAGAGTAAGGAGTTACAATAGTCCAATTTGGAACTGATAAAAGCATGAACAAGGATTTCGGTAGATTTTGATTTATGGAGTTAGGAATTTTCTTGTTCTTGCAATATTCCTCAAGTGATAGAAGGCTCCTTGGCCTTTGCAAACAGAGTTAGTTTGAGGTATTCTTACTTTTGATTGGTTAATTTACCTGCAAATAACTGCGTGCATGCAAATAATAGTCTGAACGTGCGCATTGCGCATGCAAATAATAGTCAGAGCATGCACGTTGGTCAGCTACAAATAATGCTGTGAGCATGCGCACTGCCTTCAATTTTTGTAAACAATGGCGGCTCGCTTTGTTGAACGTTCGGAAGATGAGTTGTCTTGCTAACTTGAAGAAAATAGATTGTGTGAAAAGCTCGTTGTTATACGTATTCCTAGTTACAATGTCTTATAACTAAAGATAAAACGAAGCTTTATCAGTGAATGATAAAACAAATTTTGAATTCGGTTTATGCAAAATATCGGTGGCTCGCAGATCAATTATTTGCCTCTGCCTTCGGCATTGGCAAGTAATTGATCTGTCCGCCACCGACAAATCACGATACTTTACTCAACCTCATCCAATAATTGATAAATATTTTGCCTGTGATACTTTTATGCGATACGTAATATTTGCATGCATTTAATACTTTTTCCTCTTCTGGAGGCATTTGGCCACGATAGAGCTATAATCCAGGCGAAAATCCTAAAAATCAGCTAAAACTTGACTTTACACTCATATCCCCTACTCCAGTCCTCTTCATTGTTGGATATGAAAATTTCATTCAACATTGAATTGGTTGAGCGGAGGGGGGGGGGGGTGATTTGTTTAGAGAAATGCCATTCGAGGCCGAAGCATGTCCGCGGGTTGTCCAATGGCCACAACGTTTTGGCCAGGATTGTAGCAAGCGTGGCAAGACCTCGTTAACTGAAGCAGAAAAGACGAACAAAGAATGAGGGCCTGCAAGAAAACCCGGCTTTTCGTGACTGAAAACCCCAATAAAGGCCTGTTTTATATATTGGCTAATAGAAATGGAAAACTCGGCTGAAAGAAATGTATTTCCTTGTGCATAGACATGTCATTCAGGGCGAAGATTTAATTTAATTTTTTGTTTATATTGAGTTTCTCACTCATTCGTGAGCGGATTTCTGAAACAGGCTATTGCGCAATTGATAGGGGATCCGTGGTACCTATACGATTGAACGCCCTTATCCGAGAAGACGCGAAAGCCTAACCCTTTACTGATGTCACAGTCAAGGTAACTCTTCTCCTCAGTCACTTATAGACCTTGAGTAGAGGTCCGACCTAGGAATGACCCCGGGTCTCCCAGAAACTTCCCGGGAGAAACGCTTTGAAACCGTTTCTAAATGCACGCTAGGGACTTTAAGGTCGACGTTTACGGCAAATCGCTAACCGTAAACGGCAACCTTCAAATCGCATTTGAAAGTAAGGCTTCCAGTTTCGACAGCTAAAAGTAGCTAATTCATGCTCCAATTTTAGTGCACAAATTGCCCTAATTTCGAACAGCTAACAGCTGACTTCAAATTACGATTTGAAGTTTGCCGTTTGCGGTCAGCGGTTTGCCACAACAAAATGTCAATATTTTAGGTGGGTCATACGGTATTAGACTGGTTGGTACAAGTTATGCAAGTAGAGGGCGAGTGGAAATCTATCATCCATCATACGGTTGGGGAACTGTATGTGATGATGGTTTAGACCAACCTGATGGAGATGTGATTTGTCGTCAGTTGGGATACAGTGGTGCTAGTGCTGTGTATAAACATGCACGTTATGGTCAAGGAACTGGTGAAATACTGTTGGACTCGACCGGTTGTTCTGGATCCGAGTCCTTTATTTGGGATTGCTCGCATTTAGGATTGAAAGTGAGCGACTGTGCTCACGACGAAGACTCGAGCGTGGATTGCAATTAATATGTGATATTTTTCTGGATTTTGTTAATTAAGGCCCGTTTCAGACGGCGTACTTTTGATGTGCCGAACCAGGGCGGCGCTAGATATCCATATTTTTTTTCTTTCTAATATCCAAATCGATGTATTGCCGACTGGAATTCAATATTTTGCAGACTACCTGATGACTAGGGTACCGAACCCCTTGTGCCGAACTTAATTGAGGGAGTTTGGCAAATACAACGGCAAAGGCAACGGTAACGTGGTCATCAACAATAGCATTGATACTCAAAGACAAAAGCGAATGTAAATTATATAATTTTAAGCGTTGTGCAATGCCGTAGTTGTTGAAACTGGTACGTGATTTGCATCATTTTCACGGTGCATGACTACGGCAACAGTTAATTCGTTCGATGTTATTTGAGACGTTTTATTTGAATTCGCGAACTATTTTTAGTTAGGGAGCATTCATTTTTAGCTGGTGGGGGGGGGGGCGGAGGAATTTGGGGGTGGGTCAGCCAATTTTGACATACTTCAAAGGGGTGGGTCTTTTTATAGTTTTGGTATAAATGGAGGGGGTCATAAAAATAATCAGTGAAAAGATCACCAATAAATTTTATAGAATTTGGAAATATTTGGATCAAGAATGGTAAAAAGGTCTGGAATCTATCAAAAGCAAAATTCATTTGACGCTCTGTTCACACTGTTTTATCCGTTTTGGTGTGAAAACATGAATGAAAGAAAACGCAGGACTGTAGCAATGGGGGGAGGGGCACAGTCCCCCCCCCCCCCAATAATTTGCTAATAATCATTCTTTTTTCAAAATCATGCAGATATTTATCAAGTTTAAACTTTAATAATTTTAAGCATCTACATTATCCATGACAAACTACAAAGAATGAAGATATTACCTACAGTTTCCTGCAACTTATCCTAGTTATCCAATATATAGTTAATTAAATCGACATACTAAAACGCTGTTTTCTGACCATCAGAATTCTGTCAAATCTTCCCCAAAGTCCAGGAAATGGCATTTCAGCGACTCTAGATTCAAACATTTCCTCGGGCCTTCGGCCCTCGCTATCAGTCCCCGATCAAAAAGAGCTTCCTACGGCCCTGAAACGCTACGGAAACAATACTGTGTGGATTAATAATAGTTAGGATGAAGCGTCAAAAAAATTTTCAGTGAAAAACAGGGGGTCATAATTTTTTATCAACTTTTCTCTCCGGGGTTCCAAGTTTTAGCATGGAATTAGACATCAGTTCCTCCGGCCCACCCCCCCCCCAGCTAAAAAATGAATGCTCCCTTAAGGGCTGTTTGAGAGAAACAGAAATGCTTGGAGGGGCAAATTAAGTGTAGTAAGTTTATACTTTGGCTCAAATACAACAATACAAGCAATTATATTTTTGCCGTTGCCGTTCTAGGTTGCCAAACTCCTGATGAATTAGGTACGGCAGAAAAGTGACGTATGAATCAATGGACCGATCTCATTTTAAAGTCAAAATTTTGAACTCAACAAGTCTAGACGACCTGCGAGTTTATTAAACTGCTTCAAACACGACTACAAATTCAATAGATATAATGCCTATTAGTACTCGTTACAGGGTGTATAAAAAAACTCAACCCTTCCAAATTCAAATTAGCTATAACGTATTGTAGTAGTTTGACAGCTCTAATTGCTTTGAATTAATGGTTGGGTAAGAACACAAGGTCTTGTACTCATGGGACAAAACTCTTATAAACTTTTTAATTTTCTAATTTTTATTTCTTTGAGTTCCGTCCCATGAGTACAAGACCTTGTGTTCTTACCCAACCATTAATTCAAAGCAATTAGCAGTGGCGCCGTGTGACCCATGTGTGACCCCCCCCCGTCGCCAAAAAAAATTCGGTCAGTGTACCATTTTAGGGGTCAAACATACCAAATGTTTTCGTTGCATCTTAAAATTTTTCCGGACATCACCCATTTTCTCCATTTATCAAAAAATTTCCGAATTTACCAGCGTCGGAAACTTTGACAGTTTCCGACAACATTCACAATTTTCCGACGGGTCTCCACAATAGGGGGGGGCATGGCCCCCCCCCCGGCCACGGCGCCACTGGCAATTAGAGCTGTCAAATTACTACAATACGTTATAGCTAATATGAATTTGAAAGGCTTCATTTTTTTTATACACACTGTATATAAAGAATACTAATGAGGACAAGACTACAATAGATACTGCCTTATTAGTATTCTTTATATAAAGAATACTAATTAGGAGTGTTTTATCAGGTTCAAAGCCACTGCACGTGACATATTATGGTTGATATGATTTGTCAATAAGCTTATGAATTATTAATGAGTGTTTGAAATCCATTTAATTAGGATTAAGAGTTTCTTATGAAATAACTAAATGAATAAAAGCACAGCATTCAGTTTTGTGCACGCTTTAACATGTAATTGTTGACATACTTGTACTACTTGTAAAAAACTTTACTTATATAAAGATTTAAACGTTTTTGTGCGTATACGTACGTGTGAAAAACACTCAACTGGAAAGCAGCCGTTTAATGGTATTGGTTATAATTAGCCTTTCTCACGAAGGCCAAAATCCGCCATTTTTGGTGTACTGTCTGCCCTCGTGAAATATTCTAGACAATTAAAAAAAACGTGAAAAGCAACTTTTATAGTAAAAGGTGTAACTGTAAATTTACCATAATACCATTATACAAACAACTACAATACTAAAAGGTTGTATTTCGTCGTGCGGAGACTCTCAAACGTGGGATAGGCAGTACCTCAAAAATGGCGAAAAAATCGGCGTGAAAAGGCTATAATTAACAGTGAACGCAATAATTATAGATCAATTCTTGGGAAAATTTTGGAATATTTTACATTTTGTAATTTCACTGTGCCGATCTTCAGCTCATAAATCACTCTCTTTGTATTAGAGAGAAAGAACTAGCTAAGGGGAAGATATTCGTGTGATTTCAAAACTGCTCATTTTGAATCTGTGAACCATATAACGTGACAATGGATTGCTAAACGAAAAGAATAGCAAAAACAGCCAATTTTTAACACGATTCTCAGAGGTACCAAGAGCACAAATTTTCATATCAAAAACACTTTAACTGGCATGAATTAAAAAAGCCTCAACGAACCGTGTAACGATATATGCTCGTTTTCAGGCTCTCAACTACATTTTTTTGCAATGTTAAGTTAAAAATTTGAATTTTCACTATTTTCCCGCAAAATCACGATTTTTGCATTTAGAGTTGTCAAACGGTTAGATCATAAATAAACCTTTATAAGGTTTTATGAAAAAAAATTACGTGAGAAAAGACTTTAACGCCATTGCTTTTTAATTCTGTTTGTTCACGGAGACAAAACAACTGGCATCTTCGAACAAAGTCAATTTCGTTCATAATTTGTCGCGAAATAAGCTTCTTTATAATCGTCCATTTGCCATAAATTAAAAAAATTAAATTCTTATAAATCTACCGTTTTCGGGAAAAAAAGATGCTCAAAAATTAAACTTGTTTTTGCTATTTTAATAGTTTGCGTTCGCTCGCAATTTATTGACCAGCGTTGGCAAAACTCCTCTCTGTTCATATACAAATTCCCTTCTCTTTGCCAGATAGGCTGATTATAGGCGAGAGGGAAAGGCAAGTGTAAAAACAGAGAAAAGGAAATATCTGGAAAAAGCGGTCGAAATAATGCTAGATCTCTGATTTCTTTCATAACTTGAGCCAAACTTATAGACGCCAATAACAGTAACGTATAAACATTGTGGGAATTTAGTAGTAGTTTTAAATGGTATGTATGATGTCATTCAACTTATTTTGAAACTTTTTCTGGATGTATAGATTACCTACCAAGAGTGTTGTGTTAATTTAGTAGTCTTAGGTGGTATAGTGAATAACATCATGTATAAAAGTATTAATTATGTGTAATTATTTGTAATTATAGTAGATTGGTACGCTGCATGTAAGCTTTTCAAATGATAGGACAACGTCTCATTATGCAATAGTTAACTTTTTATCTTCATATTGTATTTAATCTAGATCTGCACAGTTGTACTTCCTTTCTTTTGTAAATATGATACACTGGTTAACTAAAACAACAAAGAAACAAGATGGCTGTGAATGCATCTTATGTAATGCTTGAGATTTCAAAATTTCACAAATTGCACTAAGCTATATTATTCATAGTACATAACCTGCCGAGGTGGCATATTTTGGGTACAATTTCAAATATGAAAATAAAATCCGCACGTGATTTCAAAATCCCCCAATCTCATCTCAGAGAGTCACAATTCCTCCCTCTCGCCCTCCAGCAAGAGAAAATGAGTTAGCCCAGACTATTTATCTTTTACAACAATTGTGATTAATTTCTTAACTGTGTTTAAACTAACCCACCCTGTCAACTTTCCCTGTGGGAGAAAACCAGAACACCCGGAGAAAACCCACGACTTTCGGCAAAGTGTTGACAGTCTCTTCCCACATGAATCCGTAGTTATAGAATCGAACCCACAATCACAGAGGTGAAAAGCGCTTCCTCTGATGACTGCGCCACCGAAGAAAAATATTTAACAATTATACCATGAGCTCGGGTCATAGGCGTACGGGAAGGAAAAAATTGGGGGGGGGGGGCAGAACGAAATTTGCCCGACTTTTTCGGACTGTGCCCGACTAGTGCCGAAAAATCGGAAAATTTTTTTTTGGCGACCTCCACTCCCCCCCCCGGCGCCAAAAAAATTTCGGTCGGTGTACCATTAGGGGTCAAAAAAATTTTTCGGACATACATAAATTTTTCGAAACCTCAAACAAACTTTCGCAAAAATCGAAAAATTGACATATTTCCAACCAAATTTACAGAATTTGTCCCATTTACAATGTCTTGACAATTTGTTCGGCCAAAAACGGCTTGGCCTTGAAAATTTGAAATACTTTTGTTTAACAACTCGAAGACGAAGTAAAAGAAATGGTTTTAGAACCGGTATATCTCACAAAAACGCTCAGATATATTACACAGATGTTTGGT